AGGGTCTAGCAAGAGAGGGAGTGGGGATAGAGGAGCGAAGACGCAAAAGATGGATACAAGACAGAGTCTGGTCAAGTCTCCTCAAGTCTCTTCTTTATTCTCCTTTTTTATTCTCCTTCATAGGAAGGAAATCCTGGGTATTTATGCCCTTTACCACATGCCTTGCCCTCGTGAACAAGCTCAACTGAAGGCGCTATGTCACGTGCCTTGTAGCCATGGATACCAGGTGCACCTTGAAGCTGGGGGCACTAAACAGTGTAACAAGATGTTTATCAGAGTGTGCTCAGCTGGTGTGAGCTGTTGAAAACAAGTATCTTGTCAGGGTATATGGTTCGAGATAGCTGTAAAGATGATAGCTGCTTTCAGCTAAGAGTTGGCTCACAACATGGTGGGGCCTGGAAGAACTGACAGAAGGAAATGTGTACCTTTATAAATGTCAGTGATGTCAATTAGACTGAAATATTAATACAATCCTTTTCTGGGCTTACAAAACACTGGTGTTAAGTCTAATCCTCAAAGCTTGGTTCCCTGACTTATAAGTTATATAAGTTGGTTCCAAAGTTATAGGTTTGTACCATGTAAACCCAATATCTAGGTGCATTCTAATGTAGGATTAATAATGTTAGATGTTGGTGACTTATCAATTTATGTTTTCTAGCATGATTAACTGAAATTAATCACTTAGAGCTAAGGATTAACTTATTTTCTTAGATACATTCTATTACTTTCTAGCAGTTTGATTTTTATCATTGCAACCTTTTATCAGATTAAATATTTTCTATTACATTTGATAGATTTTAGTAAAACTTCATGATAAGACTCCACCAAAAGAAGTGAGTATCATTCTTCAAAGTAGAATCAATTTTTCATAGTGCTAGGTGATTTTTTCAAATTTAGCTGCAATTTAACAATGGTACTTTGATGTCTGAAATAATTTACATCCAGAGGGAGTCACTGTTAAAAGTGCATTCTCCTCATAGTTGAGCAGTTCTACCATGGAATTGCAGGAGACTCTTGTTTCATGCAGTTTTTAGTCTTACAAAGTACTTTGCACTAGAGAAAAATAATTCACTTTAAAATTCTAATTTAATAAGGAGGAAGTATTTCATTTTTATGTTTTGGACTGGGAAAAATCTTTTTTCTATCATTTGAGACCTACTATATTATGTATAGTATAATACTTCATATATTAGAATTGACAAATATATAAAGTTAAAAGTTAGCACTAATGTATTTAGAGTTTCTTCAGAATATCTAAGCTATGGTGAATATAAAATTGAAGTAAAAATGACAAAAAAAAAAAAAGATGTGTATAGCCAAGGTAGGCAGCACAGGTCTATACTGAAGCTGTGGTAGTACCCAAAGCCTTCCTAATGAAACTCAGGGACTATTAAGTCTATTGGACTTTAGAATCTCTGTTGTGGACCCCTGACAAAACCATGTGTGGTTTCAGATCATTAAAATATGAACAATATACTGAATTTGTCAATATAAGTTATCATACTATATATCCTTAACTTTTGTGTAACTTCATTATTAAACTTGTTTGCTAACCTTTCTGTGTATCCTGGTCATTCTCTATCCTGTCTTCTCTTCCTCTCACCCCCATTAAGCTCTGCCCCTTCCTTTGACTCATTTCACAGTCATGGCCTTTGGCTTTATTCTACAAGCCATTATATATAACCAGGGAGATCTGTGTAACATGAGCTTATTGTTGGAAAATTACCAATGGCTACAGAACTGAGGATAATGACTGCCACTTCCAGTAGTCCATAATCCAACAAGCAGGAATATGGCCCAGTGAGTCCTTCCCAATCTCTCATTGGTTGTTGACAGGCTCAGTCTTATGTAGGCTCAATGCAGGCAGTACACAGCCACTGTGAGATCTTTATTATTCAAGCTGTGTCATACCCAGTAGATGACATTCCCTGGCCCTTTTCCCCATATATAGATAATTATCATTTAAATATGATATCGTCCTTTTGTTTCTTTCTTTGCTTTTTATTCATTCTTCTTTCATATATTACATTCCTACCACATTTTACTCTCCATCTTCTCATCCCAATCCTTTCCTCTACCCCAGATCTCCTTTTCCTTTCCCTTCAGAAAAGAGCAGATCTCCAGAGACACCAACCAAAGATGGCATATCAAGTTATAGTAAGACTAGGCACCTTGTATTCAGGCTAGATAAGGTAACCCAGTAGAAGGAAAAGTGTCCTAAAGGCAATCAAAAAATTCAGAGACCCCCTGTTCCTGTTGGCAGGAGCCCTATAAGAACACCAAGCTACATAACCATAAAACATATGTAGAGCCACACAGACTCCCTGTCAGTTTTTGTTAGCTTCTATAGCCCTGATTAAGTTGATTCTGTGGACCATGTTTGTGTGGTATCTTTGATCTTGATGGCTCCTACAATCCTTCTTCCTCTTCTCGACAGGAGTTCCAGATTTCAGCCTAGTGTTTGTTTGTGGGTTTCTGCATTTGGTCCTATCATGTGCTTTATGAAACCTCTCTAGTAATGACAATGCTACTCTCTGGTCTATGAGTATAGCTAAATGTCAGTAGGAATCATTTTCATGGCTTTATTTATTTATTTATTTATTTATTTATTTATTTTTGCCAGTTGTGTTTGGTTCTATCCTAGCGCACTGGGCTATCCAGCCTCTATTTCCTGACCCGCCAATGTCAGGGGTGGGATCCCTTTTGTGGCATGGATCTCAACCTGGACCATTTATTGGTTGAGTACTCCCACAATTTCTGTGTCACCATTACCTCAGCCCACTTACAGGGAAAACAAATTGTAGGTCAGAGGTTTCATGGCTGGGTTGATATCTCAATGCCTCCACTGCAAACCTTGCCTGCTGACAGAAGCTTCCTAGCTCAGGCTCCATGTCCTCCACTACTAGGAGTCTTTACTAGGGTCACTTTAATGGATTCCTGGGAGTTTTCATTGCAGAGGGTTTCTATCTTGTCCCAGAATCACTCTGTCTTAGTTAGGATTTTGTTACTATGAACAGACACCATGACCAAGTGCAACATTTAATTGGGTCTGGCTTACAGGTTCAAAGGTTCAGTCCATTATCATCAAGGCAGGAGCATGGTAGCATCTAGGCAGCCATGGTACAGGAGGAGCTGAGAGTTCTACATCTTCATTTCAAGGCCACTAGAGGAAGACTTGCTTACAGGAAACTAGGGCAAGGGTATTAAAGCCCACACCCACAATAACACATCTACTTCAACAAGGCCAGACCTTTTAATAGTTCCATTCCCCGGTCCAAGCACATACAGACCATCACATACTCCCAGTTCCCATTGTCTCTCCCAGTACCCTTTTCTTCCACCCTCAATCTGAACCCTTTTCCCAGCCCCAGCTGCTCCCAGTCCACCCACAAAATCTGGTCTATTTTCCCGTCCCAGAGAGATCTATGCATGTATACACACACACACACACACACACACACACACACACACACACATGCATGAGCACACGTGTGTGTAAGCATATAGACTGCCCTTGCAACATTGAGCCCTCCTTCCCTCCTAGTTACTTAGCCTCCCTGGATCTATGTATTTAAACATGATTATCCATTACTTTACAACTAATGTTCATTTGTAAGTGAACACATACAATGTTTGTCTTTCCACGTCTGAGTTTCTTTGGTCACAATGATTATTTTTTCTACTTACATCCTTGCAAATTTCATGTTTTTATTTTTTTAACATCTTAGTAAGACCCCATTGTGAAAATGTATTACATTTTTTTTTTAATTTTTTTATGTATTACATTTTTAAATCCATTCTTTGGATTAAGGACATCTAACTTGTTTTGAGTCTCTGGCTATGATAAACAAAGCTTATATGAACATAGTTGAATAAGTGCCCTTGTGGTAGAATGGAACATCTTTTCAACATATGCCCAGAAGTTTCCTTAGGCCCCTTAAAAATAAATAGTTAATTTAATTGGCAACAAGCTATTAAGATAGATTGTCTCTCTTATCTGATTTTTAATCTTTTTTTTTTTAATTGCTGGGGACTCAACCTGGAGCCATTTCCTTACAAGTCAAGCACTCAACTACTGGATTAAATTTCAACTCATGTTTGTTGTCTTTTGAAATGTTTCTTTAAAAATGAAAAATTGCCATTCATAACAGGCCCTATCTTGTCTGTAGAAGCCAAATCAAATACTAAAAAGTTAGAATTGGAACAAATTGTCTTACATATATCAGTAAGGTTGTATAGGATGTCACATGTCTGTAATTCCTGCAGTCAGGAGACTGAAGCAGAAGGAAGGTGCATTCAAGGACAGTTTGAGAACAGATTTGATATCTTATCTCAAAACATATATGTAAATAAACCACAAGTTAAATTCAGGTAAAAATCATCCGGAGGACAGCCTGTGTGCTTGCCTTCGACCAACCCCATGGCTTAAGAATAAGTATGTACAGTCTGTCACTTTATTTTAAGAAAGGGCTCAGGAAGTCTCTAATGACAAATGTGATACTTTTATTTTGATCATTACTCAAAGATCTGACTTAAAAATATTACTCATGTCTAGCCGTTAGTAGTGGTTGATGGAGAAGTGCACTGTCTCAATATCAAAGCATACAAAGTATGTATTTCACAACATGGTTATTCAAAGCAGTACACAAACATCACTAATCCTTAAGCCGAGAGAGGTTTACGTTGAAGTTTTTAAGAAGGCATATTCTCTTACTTGCCTGAGGAAGTCAAGACCCAGTACTATTCTGTTGAAAATGTTCTCAGATTCTTTATCCTTTCATGTGACCTTCAGTTAGAACATTGAGTATCAGATTCTCATGTCACTGAGAATCCTTGTTTCTAATTAGAAAGCCATGCACTATTTCAGGATGACTAGCTGTGACAGGAAGCTGATGATTCACTGGAAATCCTATAAGACAATCTTAAGAAGCACTGTGACTTGAATTGTGTTCTAAGTGATCCATTTGATGTCTTGTTTTCTTTCCACTTTTCCCTTCCAGTGAAATCAGATGAGTTACAGACAATCAAGAAAGAATTAACCCAGATCAAAACTAAAATTGACTCCTTGCTAGGGCGCCTGGAGAAGATTGAGAAGCAGCAAAAGGCAGAAGCAGGTAAGTGGGAAGAAATTAACCCAAAACCATTAATCATAGAATGTAGGCTAGAGCGACACCAGCTAAGTCACCAAGTTAACACAAAGCCACAAACAACGCTTGTAAGCCAAGAATTACATTGATGGAATCCACTCATTTTGGAACACATGAACCAATATTTCTAAGATAGAATTCTTGAAAGAATTGTATTTTAATGAAACAAACAATAATATTTTAATTACAGTTGAAGCTTTCAATCGTAGCATTAAGTGATTTGTAAATAAAATAAAGGTGAGTAGTGGATAGTGTGGTCAGGAGAAGATATCATTCACATTATATTAAATTTAATCACAGTATAATACTAAAAAAAATGTAAAGGCCATTATTATAAACCCAATTTCACCCTGTGAAACATCCTTACCCGATTTCTGAAACCTGGAAGCCTGCAGTATGTCCCTGACAACCACAGGCCAAATTAGTGATTATTGCTTTACCAGTCAGCAGGCTCCTTTTGAATTCTGAGCATAGCTTTCAGCCACAGTCTAACATAGTTTTTACACTTTTTTTGTACATCGTTTTAAGATCATAAAAATGAGGTTTGGGATGAAGTCAGAGCTGTTCTGTATTTTGACACTTGTGATTTTTCAAGTCTTGTATGTGTTTCTCTCAATCCTTGCAATTTCTCCAAGGATTGTGTTAATAACCTTACGTGTCTGTGTGTGTGTGTGTGTGTGTGTGTGTGTGTGTGTGTGTGTGTGTGTGGTATTGAGATTTATATGGGACATAACTTTCTAGAAATTTCACTTTTTAAAAATCAAATAAATGAGCAATACAATTTTGAAAAGGTTTTTTTGTTTGTTTTTTGTTTTTGTTTTTTGTTTTTTTTGTTTTTTTAAATCTAAGCTCCTTTCACCAAATGCAAAGGTTCACTAGCATAAATCAATTTGCAATTTCCCTGGGTCTTAGGTCCAGGTGTCAGGTTTCCCTCACAGCTGCTTTCTGGCTTCCCTGAAATGGGGCTACTTGGTTACTTTTAGGTAATGAGAGCATTTGGGGACTAGAGGTGTAGCTGAGGCTTCTGGCTGGAACTGGTTCTTAACTTAAAGTAAGCAGGAGCCTTCCTGCCTGTTGACTCTTGACAGGAACTGGAGCCTACTTCCTGGCTGAGCTATGGAACATTTCTAGTCTAAAGCATATCAGAATAAGGTAATTCAACCAATATTTAAAAATATCTCATTAAAAATAACAGAAGTCAGTAACTCTCTCCAGCCTGTTAATATGAAAGAGTCATAATAGATTAAACTGAACAATTTTCACTGAAATTTTCTATAGAACATACTTTATACTGAGAAAAAGTTATGGTTGCCTACACTTTTCAGTAAAGGTATTTAGAGTTGTAAAAAGTTTTGATTCATTGTCTACGACCATAATCTAAAGTGTCACTGTAACTGAAGTACCCTGTGATGTTGCCTAAGTCAATATTTCCCTTTGAGAAACTTCTGTAGAATTCATTATTATGTAAAACAACCCTTACAGCAGAAGACTTTGATAACCAATTTGCACTTCAGTCTAAAGGATTATAGAGAACTCATTTAAATATAAATCACCTCAAAGAGAAAAATGTGATCCTTATTCCAGCATATTATACCTTCCAATTTCCTGCATGAATCAGACCTGCCACAGATCATGCTGGAAGATCATCTATAAACGTGAACACTCTAATTCAAGCCCTGATTTTCCTTTTATAAAAGCTGTCATCTTGCCTTTGCTCATCTTTAAACTTTTTCCAGTCATGAGACTGTTTCTTTCAAAATGACAAGTCTTGTCCTTGCTGTTAGCATCTCTCTTCCTTTTACATGCTATGAGGAAAATGAAGGTACTTAATTTGTATCTTCATTGTCCTTGTTATTGTCTTCTGAATAACATCTATATATAGAGATAATACAATCATCCTTTTCATTTCCTGTATTTTCTCAGTGGCAAGAAATCAGAGTTATATGGAAAGAGTTAGCATTGTTTTATGGAAAGAAGAATGAAATGCATTAAAATTCATTAAAAGGTTTCCAAAGCTTTCTTACTAAATCCAGGGGCACTAATTTTAATGTTTAATTAGTTGAAAGCTAATTACTGTTTGGCTAGCATTTATTCTTCATGACTCTTTATACATCTCATCTCCTACTTGATATTAGCTATGTAATAAGTAATGTTTCCAGCATAAATAGAGTGGGAGCAAGGAAACAAATGACTAGGAAGAAAATGCCACAGTATGTGGAGTGTGCCCTGAGCCCCACATGGGGTAAGTTTTGAGTGAACTTCATGGGGTTTGTTTCCCCACTGACTTCAAAGCAAATTCTTAAACGTGCAAACAAAATTGCTACAAAACACAGTCATCTTATAATGAACTGTCTACACCATAAGTAAGAGATATCTGTGTCTCTTTATTTTGACATTATAATCTTTCTTTGTATAAGGTCATATTTTCTTTATCCACTTTACACAGTGTAGTGTCATTTACTATTACCAGGTATGTAGCAAGGTTTGAGAACTTTTAAACTATAGGAATCAACAATGTCCTTCAGTACATAGCCAAACACTTAAAAATTGTGGTTACTATAATTCCACCATGCATATATTGTTTTTCTACTGAATAAAACAACGTTTAAAGAATTCCATGAGCAAAGATTATGGAAAACAACAATCAGCACTTTATATCAGCTTAGCCTATAACTAGATCTCATTCCTAGATGATTCTTTATAAGGAACCAAATGTAAATTATTCTACACACACACACACACAGACACACACACACATAGAGAGAGAGAGAGAGAGAGAGAGAGAGAGAGAGAGAGAGAGACAGAGAGAGAGAGACAGAGACAGAGAGACAGAGAGACAGAGAGTCAGAGACAAAGACAGAGAGATAAAGAGAGACAGAGACAGAAACAGAGATAGGACACATGCCTTGTATGTACTAGTGAAAGATTTTACAACCTAATACTTATTTGTAATACCCAAACTACTAAGAATAAGGATGAATAAAAGGTACTTCAGATATGCAAGGTACCATAATACTTAGATCCAAATTACATGTTAAAATAGACATTGAAATTAGAGATATGAACATTTAATGACGTATTTAAACATTCAGCAATTTACAAATGTCCAACACAAAAGTCATTAAGGTTCCACCTGAGGCAAGAGGAGCTAAATATCGTCTGGAGCAAATGAAATAAAATATAGGAAGGCTAAAGGAAAAATATTCTTTAGAGATAGTTGGAAGATTCTGATTGGCTAGGTGTTTTAGGTTTTAGCTTTTTTCTTCCTTTCTTTTTTTTTCTTTTGGTATACCATATCTACTCTAAGTTGGGTTTCAGTATCTTGCAGAGAAAAGCAGGGTAGGTACCTCTGTAAGCTTATATCTCCGTACTTGATTTGCTACAGCATTTCCTCATACAGTACTGGGAAAATGTACTTCAGTACAAAGACAGAGGACAGAAATGAGGAAAATACAGCTTTCCTAAAGCAGGAACCTGGTGACAAATTGGGGAAAAGGAATCCTTGAGATGGCTATAAAGGAGATCCTAAGAGAAAAGCTGGTCATGAGAATGCAGAAACACAAGCCAGATCAAAGACATGAGCCAGACCAGGGTGACAAGCCACAGAAATCAGCCAGACTAATCACGTTGACTCTCAGGAGAGGAGACACTTAAAGAAGTTGAGAAAATAACACATGGTGAAGATAAATTTGCATATCTGTGTGGGGAAGGGATAAGTTTATATAAATCCTTAGAGTGGTCCCTTGAAGCTAACTTACTGAAAAGCTAAGGCATTTTTAATTATAAGTAAAAAAAAAAAAGAAATAGTCTTTTTAATGTAAGTTCAAGATAATATTTAGTGTATATTCATAGCTTAGTGGCTCAAACATTTACAAGCTTAAAGTAAAATTGAAAATTGAATTGATCTAATTTAGCTTATGATACTACTTTCTAGAGAGATGGAGAGTAAGTAAAAATTATTTGACCAATAAATTTCTATGAGATTTTGAAAATTATTTCAACAGATAATTCATCAACGGTTAAAAGGGAGTGTAGTTATAAGCAGGGGTTGCCATATTAGGATCAGCTAGGGGAGAAAAACATCTTTAAAGAGCTGGAAATGGTTGACAGACAGTAGCTATTCTTCATAACAGGACTTACTAATATTGGACTATAAGACCTGCATGTTTGTAAAAAAACTAACTTTAAGGAAGGCTGTCAAGAATCTTCTACAGTAGCCTCAGATATACAGAAAAGCATCCATACACTGACCACAAGGAATTTGGAAGACTCTTTTCAAGACTATTGCAATCTGAGTTGGGCACAGAACTCATCTGGTTAAAGATCAGGGTTGAAGATGGATGAATGTTACTCAAACTGCTTGAGCTATGCTAGAAGGTGTTGCCAGTACCTGGCCAATGTCATTAGGTGAATTGTGATTGATACTTGTCTTTAGCAGAATAGAGTTCTTTTCTCCAAATAGACTGAGAGATGGAGTCTATCCATCCACAGGATGATGACCTGTTGGAGGGCCGGGTCCTAGATATGGAAAACATTCATAGGTGGACAATATACATATCTCAAGCAGACAAAGGAATAAGAAATAATCGAATATTTTCAAAGTGAAGATTTTGAAAGGGAGTCTTGCCTGAGGTCAGCAAGAAGTCTATATAAGTTTTGATAAACACAGAGAAACATGAATAATTTCTTGGTGAGAACTGTTATGTTTTTATATTCATTTAGATCTCATTTTCTTCTGTGTCCTGTCTGTGTCACATCACTACACTGTAAGTCTTGTCAACTCCATTCACAAATTTGAGCATCATCTTCTATTATTCCAAAAGCTAGTGTTTCCCAATCTGACCTTTGTTAGATTTTCCCCACACCATAGCTCTGATTTCCCCAAGACCACTGCCCATATCAAGTGTTGATCCTGTCTCCCAAGCTCACAGTTTAAGTGTCTAACACAGTTTAAGTGTCTTGTTTGTCTTTCACATATGCTTCACATAATCCAGTGACAGTTTTACTGAGCAGTGCAACAATCACTACAATTCATTTAAGTTATTGTCACTCCCTAAGAAACAACACTTCTTAGGTCTTTCCTCTCTGGCTTATTTTCCATGTGGCAAGTGAATTCATATTATTGAAACAAAAGGCTACAGACTGGAGTGAGACAAAATTAGGTGCGTACCCAATAGGGACTGAATCCAATTGACTGGGTCTGAGACATTTGGAAAATTCTTCATAAAAACTACAAAATGAGAGAAGCACTATCTCCTTCGAAATTATGTTTAAGTAAGCAGTTAATGTTTTGTTAATTTTTAAATGAGTCACATTAAAATTTTAGTGATTTTTCATGAACAACTTGAGGTTATTCTCTAAAAATTCATTTATGTAACTGAAATTCTAATTAAAATATATTTCTCATATGAAATTTTCCTGAAATTTATTTATGTGTTTGTTACTAATAGCATCCATAATAAAGTGAATATTTAGCAGCAGCATTTTTAAATCATTGAATTAGAACTCACATAGCTGCTTAAAATATTTTAAAAAATAAGCTTTATCTTGGCATGCAAAAGATTGATTGCAGAATACTATCTTTGCAGTAGTAAAATGGGAGTGTTTTTGTAACAAGAGTCTTTTCTATTGTCTAAGTACAGTTCAGCTGGTAATTGTTTAGCAATTAAGCCAGCACATCAAACAGCTTAATTGCCACCTCAACCAATTTTCAGTCATATTGATAATAACTGTGAAGAAAACATAATTTAATAAAAATGTGTTGTTGGCAAATCTCAACAATTGTAACTTGTTTCCTGGATCATATACAGCTTTGGAAATAAAATTAGATATGCTGAAATTTTTTTTAATATGAGAACAGAAATTTAACTTCAAATGATCTCTTTTCATGTCATTTGAAGTCATAAATATTTCCCTTTGATCAGAAATATCAATCATTTGCATTTCTTTTCCTTTGATAGTCATTGTTTGACTAAAATATGTTCCCTAACTGAATGTAGTTCTTCATTCTTGAATTTGGAGATTATTTACTATTTGAAGCAATTCAAAATATTCTTTCCCTGCATGACTGATAAACTCCTCTGTATCCTACGATTCATTAGGAGGGAGTAGAGGCTGTTAAGGCATAAGTCCTCCTGTAGATTCTTACTTTTATATGCTTTACTTATGCCTCAGTTTCCCTGTGTAAAAAAGGAGCAATATTATTTTGCTGAAATATGTTCCAAGGACTAATGCTTAGGTCAGCACGTTAGATGAACCCATTATCTCACTAACTTGTGGTCATTATAAATAGTTTTCTTTCTGTAATAATCTTATAATTTAGAGATCACTGGATTTGATATTTAACATTAGATGCTAGCTTTTGCAGCCATTGTCTATATGTCTAAACAAAAGTGTAGTATTAACTCACTTCTCTGCTCAAAAAAGAAATCCATAATTTTGACATAAATAATCCAACAGAAAGGGCTATTTTTCTTTTTCAGAACTGTCAATATAAACATGAAAATTCTCCTCTAAGAATATTTCAGGTCCCATATCCCATCCACTTCCTAGTGATGGGCTTTGGTACAGGATGTGACACGAATGTTCAGTTTTACTCTTCAGAACTTCTATTTTGCTACCATGGTGCCAAATTCAACTGCCATTTTAAATGGAGACAACAAAGTTTTTATAATTTTATTGCATACAACTCACGAATATATTCAGAAAATGTTTCCATGTAAGACTGTGAGGTGGAAAACAGAAAGAAAAAAAGAAAAGGTATACACAAGTATTTCTACCACAAAGGATCTCTACTGATAAATATGAATGCACAAATATAATTCATATATATAACCCTTCCCATATGTTCACAAGAAAGAATTATGCAGATAAAACAAATGGCACAAAATTTATATCAACCAAACACTGCTATTCATTTCTAACAGAAAAAAATTAATTACTCAAAAAGTAAAACTAGTTCCTTTGCTTCAATCTCAACAAGATTTTTTGAGGGATCAAAATTGATCATTCAGCTGCAAAACAGCAGCTTAATGAACAATTGTGCTTTTATATGTCATTTATTCATGGATCCTATAATTGTCCAGTGTATGTGACATTTCCCACTGAGCAAGTGACAAATGTCTATCCTGACCATACCTTACAAAACTGCAGACTGGCCTCATTTCTGTTAAACTCCCATGGATCGATTACCATCATAATTAAGGGTTTTATATTTTCAACCCAGATAATATATCCTAAGCATTTAAGCTTTCAAGTTAATGCATGAATGGGTGAGGATAGCTTACAGGGTTGTCTTTCCAGCCTTGAACTGTATTAATACACTGTTGTCTTTGAAATATATTCCCCATGAGATTACATGTATATTGTGTGTATTAAAGACAGCAAGCAACTTAATATATGTTTGTTTAAACAGAAAGAGGAAGGCCATGTGAAAGCCAAGACATGACATTATCTCTTCAATATGTTCTTAAATATCAGAAATAGAGATTTTTGACATGGACAATTTGTATAGTAATCAAATAATCAATAATGGTTACACTTTAGAATTGTTTTGAGCTTTTATTCTCATGTGTTTTTGTGATTTCTGCAGTCAAAAGTCACATCTTTTAGTCATTCTAAAACTTGCTATTTTGGGAATTCAATGTGACATTTTAGCTTACCTTTAAGAGAAGAAAACTATAGTTCATAGGAATAGTAACTAGCAAAGATATGCACCCTAAGTCTTATATCCTAGTAATTTATAGCATCACTTCTACTTGTAAGGCATATAAAGTAATAAAAGACCATATCAATCGATTGCCTGAAAATAAACCTTAGTTTGCAATGAACCTCTCTGTATTGCTTCTATGGGTCTGGCAAAGTGGTCATATTTCCTAAAGAGTTCAAACACTGAGACATTGGTAAGACAACAGAGATCCAATTCGAATAACAATTACTTGGATTTAGACAAAGAAAACAAGAGACTTTGGGTTAGTAATATAATAACTACTTTATAAGCCTTGGAGGATGTTCCATGGTAAAAATCACATAACCATCAGAGAAAAAAATAAGTCTACACTTCCATAGCTTCATCAGCATGTCATACATACATCTGGAGATAACAGTCACCTTGACACATTGGTTACATGTTTTAAGATCTCTGCGACTAATAAATATATGGAAAATTTGTTATACATAGGTTCTGTGGATGTATTAGGAAAAAAGTAGGCCATTTTAAGATGCCTAGTATAACTATGTACTATATTTATAATTTTATTTAAACAAGGCCTGATATTCGTAATGTTTTTATCCACCATTCCTTGATCCAAACAGAAACTGTAGTGAAACTGTAGTTAGTGTTGAGGTTTGCATATACATACATATATACACATACACACACACACACACACACACACACACATATATATAATGAGATTGTCAATATTCAGGGTAAATTTCATGTTCATGTATTTATAAGTAATCACATGGCAAAACTCAGAATGAAGCCTGGTATTTACAGTGCCACTGCTAAGTAACCTAAATACCCTTGGAGCTCTGTCATCTGGTAGAGGGCAGGGCACGCCTCACCTATTTTTGATCAAATTTATTATTTGTAGAATTATAGTGAAAGAATGAATAGACACACATTTATAGAAGAAATTACTGTGATGATATTCAGCAATGTGTAGAAAATGTTGCCCATATATTTATATAATAAACATTTTTCAATGTTTATTGTATTTAATCAAAACTTATAGATCAATAATTAGTTCCCTCTTAACACATGTTATGAAAAAATAGGAAATGAATCTCCTGGATATTTACTCTCTAAGTTGTATTTATTGTCATGAAAGATAAATAAGTGAGCTCAACATGAAGCATATTTAAAGCTCAAGTCAAAGTCAAGTGAAATGATACTTTAATAACAATAAGCAAAATTAATGAAAACAACATAATTTTTAAGAGTTGTGAGCACACAGGGTAAAGTTGCAGAAAGAGAAACAAGATGTGATTTTGTGTGTCCAGTATTTCTTGGAATGTTCACAGGAGAAAAAAAAACCATAGAGAAATAACTACAAGGTTGCCAGCATTAATTCTGGGTACGGATTTCTGCATTTCATGATTGTAGTATGCCAATCCTGGAATTGAAGGGAGTTCTGTTAGTGTGGTCTGTAGCCTCTTTTCTTGAGCACTTACTATTTGCAAACCATTATACTAGCATTTCTATTTTTTGCATCGAACTTTAAAAGCTTAGGAAACATATGTAAAAAAGAGAAAAAAGGCACATGGGTCAATCATTTCTTCCTTCTAACGTGCTACATTCCCACCAAGCAATAAATCCTGACACTCTTGATATAAGAGTTTTTTAATCAGAGAAACTATTCTTCCTAGAGTCTCATATAATAAAGTAAAGTATTTAGGAAGATCAGTATGCTAATGTAAATATTTATTTATATATCGTACCATCTAGAGACCCTAATTTTTTACCAATTTCAGTTTTAAATAAATTTGCTTACATGTAAACACATGCAGATGTATGCATAAAATTAAATAACTGAATAAACTAATGAAAATATCCCTATCTTTTCATGCTGTTTGTTCACAGCTCACCCCTTTTAAGAATTCCCTATTTTTTCATGGTTTTTCCAAATGACTTACTAGCAAGCCAAGGTAGTAGTCATATGCTTTTTCCCCTCCTAGAAGCTCAGAAGAAGCAGTTGGAGGAGAGTATAGAGCTGATTCAAGACGAATGTGTGTCAGAGAATGCAGACCATTCTACAGAGGAGCCTCCTGAAGGAGGACAAGAAGCGGATGGAGGAGAGATGACTGATGGGGTAGAGGAGGACTTCGATGAAGATGGGGGTCACGAGCTGGTATGAATGCAATATTTGGGGGTGTTCACATCTGTTGGGTGACAGCAATAGTATTTGATGCATTCATTCTAAAATAAGGATTAAATAATTTGAGGATTTTTTATCTTGTGTCAATATGTTTAAGGGAACATTGGTATAGTGCTTTGCACACAGCAAGTGCTCAATACATTTTTTATTAATTTCAACTATGAGGTTGAAAATGAATGTAAAATATACTATATAAAGTATTAGGTATATATAAAGTCCCAAAAGAAAAACTTCTTCCCCTCATTCTCTATCATGGAAGTAATTTTGTATTTGTACAGATAAATGTGTGGGCAGATTTAATATGCTGGTGACAGAAACAATCTCTTGCAAGATACATGAAATCTCCTTAACATGTATTTAAATTTTATTTATTTATGTTGTCTATGCATGTACACACATACTTGTACACATGTGTGCAGATACAAGAATACCTTGCTGCAGTCAGTTCTCATTTTCCACCATGTGGAAACCAGAAAACACTTAGGTTATCAATCTTTACAGCAAGGACTTACCCACTGAGCCATATCAATGGGTCAGCTTCCTCTAATTCATAGTTTTTCTTACTGATAGTAGTCACATATACTAGCTGCATGGCCAGTTACCCACTGCACAGTGGGCCTGCCATGATGACCCCTTAGTGTGTTGTCACCTCATCATTTCCAGTGTCAATACTGTTTTACAATCAATTATTATTGTTTGGGAATTTAGCTAAGACCTGATTCTTAAAAGTTTTATTTCCCCAGTGTTGAAATTAGTACACTGTTTATTTACAGATGCCCTTTCCTTGACAACTACACCAGACACTTGGTAAAAAAAAAAAAACATATTTATATTTCATCAACCATGAAATTAAATACTATATTCCAAAGAAATTGATTAACAATGATGGAGGATAGTGTGAATATTTGTGTGTGAGAGTGTGTGTTTTGGTATGTGTTATATATGTGATTAACTCTCAATATTTATAGACGATCTTACTCATATATCATATATAAATATATTTACTACATATATAATAACAAGTTTTTCCAGATAATATTACATTCCCATTTATTATAAAACCTAGATTTTAGATTTTGGTTATTGTCATTGTTGTAATATAATATCAACTTCCAACAATTACCATGTTTTCTTTAAAAGGTCACTCACTTCAGTTTGAGGTTTTCAAAGTATGAAATCTGCCAACTGTTTTAGAATCACAATGAAATGTATTCATCAAAAACAAGAAGGAGAAACAAAGATTTCTCAGTGCCTTCATAAACAGAACCCTAACCCAGTAACAATCTTCAGGCTTGTTCTCACCTGGCATCTCTTTCAGTATTCCTTTGATGGCTCTGCTAGGAGGATCTCATGGTGCTGTTCCCAAGGGCTGCCTCTCTTCATTTGTTTCTCCATTTACTTTAGTTCTACTTCTTCAGGATCGTTCTAGAGATATTCTTGTCCACAGGAAGAGACAATTGAGTTCTCCTGAAATATATGGTCTTATGTAAGAGAGGGCTCTTCACAAGGGTGATCTGTCTGAGAGAATTTTCTATTCCTAGAAGTCAGAGGGCTTCGGGCTTATTACAAGGGCTACAGATTTTCAGGTGACTTTTAGGGGAATATAGAGAATTTTAAAACTGAGAGTAAAATGCTCAGATTAGTCTTGACTTTTTGCTTTAATACCCAAAAGAGAATAAGATAACTTGAGTGTCAACGGTTTTAAGATAGACCCTTCTTGCATGATTGAACATATGTATGTACAAAATTGAGTTGAAACGTATTCCCAGCTTCCCATAAATGAAACAGATACAAATGAAGGCAGATATAAAAGGCCTCCCTGTTGCTTTCTGTTGTCAGAGCCCAAGTGAAGAATTACAGTTTTTGAAAAACAGTAGCTTCTCAGAACCAGCACAGGGGGAAAGAAAGTGCCAAAGTAGTTAATGAATAGAGAAATGAGACTCAGCAAATAGGAAAATAGTGAGTTATCCACTTCAGGATTGAGGTCAGAAATATGATTGATGATATGAGTCATAGGAGGTTACAGTGGAGGTGTCAGGATCAAAAGTCACCACAGATGAAAACCTCAAGAACTGAAAACCAAGTAAGGAGTAGGTCATCTCAACCATCTTGATATCACTCCAACTACTTGAAGAACTAAGGGATTAAGATAATTTCCCGATTAACAAATAAGAAGTTGCATATATCATTTTAGTCCCAGATCTCTCACCCACTCAAAGAGAATCACGAAACAATAACTTTATTGAGTCTTAAGCTTATTGTGTGCCACAAAGTAAGATTAAGTCAGAAATTTTTTAGTGTACTTGTGTGTATGTGTGCATATATGTGTTCAGTATAATGTATGTGAGCCCATGTGTGTTCAGGTACATCTCTGTGGGTAGAAGTGTTGCCTGAAAGTGGTGGTAGGGGATAGAGATCAATATTGTCTGATATGCTTTCTTTCCACTGTACACAATGAGACAGAGTTTCTCGTTGAACCTGGGGCTCGTTACCTGGCTAGACTGTCTGGTTAGAGGACTGCTGGGATATGCCTATTGTTATCATCACTCCTGGATTAGAGTTACATTGTTTTCTGGCCTGACTCTCTCACATGTGTGCTGAGGATCCTAAACCAGGTCCTCATTCTTGAATAGCAAAAACTCTACAACCCAAGTTACCTCCCCAGCCCAAATATGAAATCCATTTAATTTGACCATATTTCTGAGTAGTCATGAGTCAGAGAAGCAGCATGTCTAATGAGACAGAACTTGATCATATAGCCCTGTGTATAAGTTCAAGCCTTAACAAAGTGACTGACCAAAGACATTGTGTCACTAAGATTTTCACACTGAATATTTACTCTGTAGTTGGAAGCTTGAGTAACTAAGTAATTAAATCCTATTATATATGGTACTTAACTTTCTCTTGGGATTTGGAAAATAATAAATGGGCATGATTTTAATAGTGAGACCTTCCTTCAGAAATAGAAATGATGGAGTCTGCCCTTCCTAGTGATTAGTCAATAAGACACTCCTTTGTATTATTTACACTTTTTGTCTCCTTATCCAACCGCAAGGAACAGTTCATTCCTGACGTTCAAATAAATGGAAGTAAAAGCACACATTTTCTCTTACACTGTAACAGAGGACATTATAGCTGTGCAAACAGATGACACAATGATGCAATGTAGCAGGTGACAGAAGTCAAAAGACAATCTCTTTCAGAAATGCCCAGTAGGTTACTCAAGCAGAAGCACAATTCTATTCCAGAAGAATGAACAAGAAAGTGGGGATCTAATCTAAGCCAACTAAGGTCCAACACAATGAGCTAACAGTACGGCTGACAGACCCTGTGTAGAGCAGAACTCAAACAAATACAATGATTACCAAGTAATATCTACTGAATATCCACCGAGTGAAAAAGTGCATGCCAATCTAATCATGTATCAGTAGAAACCTACTGAGAATTAACATGGTACTTGTCAAAACTTCAAAAATAGTTGCAGTGACTCCTTCAAGTGTGGAATTTTGTATCTAAGGAAATGGCTTTTTGTCTCCGGTAGCTTAGTGTCTTAGAGATATGGCAGATTCCCTTTATGCACTAAAACACAGACTTGATCTTCATTGTTTATTAGAAACTACTCAAAGCTAAAAATCTAAAATCGATGCTAAAGTACTCTATATTAATTATTAGAATAATAAAATAAATTAAAATTTACTTAAACTTAAACTTCATACTAATGTCCTACATGCACACTATCAAAATGCCATTCTATTCTTACCTTTAAATATACCCACCAGCAAACATTTACAAGGTTTCATTAAATGAATGTCATGAGCTTGTGCTGTAAAGAAAAAAAAGAATGAAAATCTTACCTTTTAAAGATAAGAATTTTCTGATTGTTAAGGCCACAGGCCAAAGGAAGAAGAAAGAATAAAAAGCTGTGGGGGCAAAGTGGGAAAGAGCTCTTAGGAGAAGAACAGCACACATTGAGCACAGTCAGTACAGAATCCTGGTAGGAGGATCTGGGAGCTTCACCTTGACAGATGACAAACTAAAGAGAACGCAGTACTTCTGTCAAGGAATGAAATTTCTGATCACCTTCACTGTCCTTATATAATTTTAAAGAATACCTCATTGAAATCAAATACTTTAGAAGCCTTTGGAGATGACTTGGTAGGTGAGAACATTTGCTGCACAGCTGCAATGACCTGAATTCAAACCCTCAAAACTCATGTCAAAGCCAGGAACGATTGTATGTGTCTGTAACCCTAGGGTTGAAGGCAGACATAGGGACTTGGGTGGGGCTTACTGGTGTCAGCCTTCCCCTAGGCTCAGTAAGAAGCAAATGCAAATGGTTACTATTTTATGTGACAGGACATGTAAATTACAAATAAGGTGTTTCCTGTTCAAGTGCTCCCTTTCTCTTTCTTTACTTCCACCAAACATATTGTTCGTATAGAAATTAATAAAATTTCAAGTAAAAGTAGCTAGAGAAAAGCACTTAGCCTGCTAATTCACAAAGACAAACAGCTCTTCTTAAGTGCAACGTTTTCTTGGCTTATTACCTTGTGATTGCAAACAGTGTTGGCTGAATCTTTCTGGGAAGCAGCTCAGTCATCAGCATTTACTTCAGGCTGAGTGTTAAACCCACAAAGCAAAGCCTTCAATGCTCTAGAGATACTACAGCCAAGCAAAGGCATTTGAATAGATTAAAGAGAATTTGAGTTTGTTTGTATCTATTTGCAATGACTTTCACCTTTGATGTCTACAAGCAACCTAAACAAGACAGTAAGAATCACAGAATTACCTAGCTGGACATGTGGTATTTAGGCATGTAGAATGAGTACTCTGTTGTAATTCCTCTTCCAGTATTTAACAAAGCATTCAACTAAGCAATAAGCCACCTGTGTCTTCCAGCTATTGAATTTCTGTGCATATTGGAAAAGATGTGACCACAATCTAATCCTGCAGTTGAAAGCATTCAAAGTAAG